GTAATAGTAATCGCCTTTATATGTCTCTTGTACATCGATCATACACATCGATGCATTCAATATGATACACTATAAAAAATGTCTTACTTCTGTTGATCAAACTTCTCACCAAATAATATATTATCTCGTAGTGTAGCATTCTGCAGCCAGGCCTTCTGAGCAACGTATGCGATTTGTTTATCTTTTCTATAAAAGTAAGTTGTAAATTGTGCCACTTAAAATGAAGAAATGAATATACAATTATTGAGTTCTACTCCTACCTGAGTCACTAATGAAACTCACCAACGAAAGACTACTGATCTATGTTCTCTAATAACAGTATTGAATCTGATATTTCCTATTTGACACGCACGTCACATCACAATTGCTCTTGCTTTTTATTACCGCCATGTATTTTTGTAATTAAACATCGTAAAATGCGTGTGACGAACTTATAAATTACATGCAATGTAGACACAGCTGCTGACTTTCTTGAATTATAATTTGAACTGATGACACTCTTATTCAATGTGATAATGATCTATCATGGTCACAACTAGCTTGCTGATTTGCCGTCTCAGAAGTTGTGTTATCAGACGATAATATAAGTTACTATTTGCAAGTAAATTAATTTTCAACAAATGGCCGTGATAATAATGGCGAACAATAATGAATCCTCCACAGCATCATATTGAATGAGAAAAGTCTATGGCAAGATTCGCCAAACACATTATCGCGTCGAGAATTCATTTTTATTATTTAAATAACGGGGAGTTTTGAAATTTGTCTCGCAATTATTTCAGCAAACATACCCGTCTTATCCAATTATTGCGCATTATATTATAAAAATAATCAATACCGGTCAATTTTGTAACAACATTGTTGCAGATGATTCCCAATAATGTACACCGTTATTGAGCATTAAGGTCCCTTTCTATGACGACTGTTTTGCTTTAAGTGTACATACCCCTTAAACTGAATTCTTCCTGAAACTGTATTCATTTCTCCCAGAATTGCAGACAATAAAGATGATTTGCCAGCGCCAATTTTGCCAACTATAACTGTTAATGTTCCTAGACAAAATACAAGACAAATATGATAACAATTCACTGAATTAAAATAAACACAACTCGCTGATTATTTGATTAAGATCAAGTATTTAAATTCTTTAAGATCTTTATGAGTAATGTTGCACACCAGGAAATAATGATACAGGTGTTGTTAGATCACCGTGAAATATAAGTTTGTGTTTCCTAAAGAAACATGACTAGCGCCCCTTTCTACTACGAGGCATAATGTTCCATGCAAAAGACTACACCTTGGCACGTTAAAGAACACGAAGGAACAACGGTTCATCACTGTGCAGTGAAATTAGAGTTCTGAGAATTATACAACTAGAAGTGCCACTGTCAATCAATCACCATTAACCACGGATGATCTGATAAGATTCTCCCAATCAAACTGCATACCAAAAAATCACAATAGTAAAGTACTACTTGCACATCAAAACGTTTCAAATTGTTATTGTTATTCTTAACTTATATATTGTATTTATTCATCTGAGGAAAAATATTTTGGGTGAAAGTGGTTGAAGTCGACTTAAAAAAACAACAAGAAAAGTTAATATAAATAACTATGCTATGTTATATAAATATGTAAAGTTAATTGTTTATTAATAATATTTCTAAAAGTGTATATTATTCCTAGTATATGCATGCCATCAACATTACCTGTTTCAAATTTGACATTGATGTTATTCAAAACTACTTCATGTATATCAGTCCCCCATGAGAAATATCCATTAATAATCTATGTAAAAACCAATACAGTATTTTTGAAAGAAACAACATACCACTCACAAGCACAATGAGGTAAACAATGTACTATTACAATTATTATAAAAAAAAACATAATAGAAAGTATCGGGCAAAGGAACGTTTATTGAATTACTGCAAATAACACATGTTACATAATATATATCACTCACTTCAATTGCAACATTATTTCTTTCCACGTTTTCAGCAGTACCAGTCATTGGCATTGGACTTATTTTACGAGTTGTCTTATAATTTTGCTGCGGCGCTCTTTGCACTAATGGAGTAGTGAGCTTCATTTCAATTTCGTTCATTTCATATTCCTGTGAATTAAAAGATTATATCACATACTTCACTTGTTATTGAGTTGTAATTACGTTGTGTTGCTGTGTTGCTGTGTTGGGTTTGGATTTTTCTTTTATTTTGTATAATTAAATTAATGAATGTTGATCAGTAACGTTATTTGCAGTCTTTTTTATGCTATGACATGTAAAATAAGAAAATTTAATGTAAGAGTGTGTACACACCGTCGAAGTGTATGTGGGTCTAGTGGGGGCACACCCACTGCTTCCCTTTGGTTGGAATTACCATTGAAATTTCTATGAAATTTACTATACCCATTCAATAAATCTGATATTGTAGAATAACTCATTGATAAACTATTTATATTGATATCATGAATACACCAGATAGAATAAATTTATGTACTTGATTACCTCGGTTATTTCATTAATATCACTGCAATCCACATAGTCATCTACTGGGTCTCTGTGGTCGGCACAACTACCCATTTCCTCCATGCGCATAAACTCTTCAAGTCTCTTGGTAGAAGTTATCATCCCAACCGTTGCTTTAATAAGCGATGGCATTGTCGACAGTGGTTGTATTAGTAAGCTGGTCAATGCAATAGTTGTAAAAACTATCTCAGGTGTCAGGGGTGTTGTGGTGACTTTCGAGTATACAGCAAACATCTGTCAATGCCGGAGAACTGACTAATTAATTAATTGCCCTATTACATGCAATTTTACGTTTTACCTTTTTTAGAATATACAACTTTAGGAATTAACATACTTACAGCAAAGGTGACGATGTATGGCAGTGACTTTGACGTGGCACCTTCATCAGAATAAACATATTAGTTAGTTCAAAATAAAGTAAAGGTCTGTCTGACGAAATGCACTTGACAAACAAACAAACTTTTTTGTATATCAACCCAAGAAACGCATCTCCTTGACATAACATTAATATTAGTTGAAGAATTGGACAAACTTTGAATTTTAACTCATAACTTTGAAAATATCTAATACAAGTAATATGTACATATGCAAATAATATGTCTAAACACGTGTCCAGTGCCACGTATAAACAGGAGATACACGGTTATGTGATTTCGTTTGTGAAATGTCAAGTTATTTTTGTTGGTATTGGCTTGTACCAATTTTCCTACGAAAACTATATAACACAACAGCAGGCGATGAACAATCATAAATACCATGGTTCTGAAAAACCCAAGACAAGCCCAGGCCGTTCTCAATGTTGCTACATAATTTTACCAACGATACTCAATCATAGAAGAGCGTTATGGTACCTGATTAATTGGTTTTCCAGGCAAGGACGGGTATAGTTGCGTATTTTAGTGGAACAGTTCGTTAACAGCAATTGAGTCGTTACCTGACAGCAATGATTCACCATGCATTGGGGGACACAAACCTCAGATCGGCGTTTTTACAGTACATCACGGAAATTGTATCGAATGTGCCATCGAGTTGTCGTTGCGTTAAAAACGCGTACCGCTGGTCATGCCGGTAAATATTACTGCTGTTGCTGATTCTTTTACAGTTTAGAAATATAGGTGTTAAGTATGATAGCTTAATCATAATAACGCTACACTATATAATACCATGAACAAGGCAGATATAAAATATACTAACTACGAAACGGTTTGAAGTTGTTTACAAGATGACGTACCTAAGAGAATAAAGTATTTTGCTAGTTTAGATTTTTGTTTCATTTCTTCACTCCGTGTACTTTTTATACCAGATGCGAACAGTTCCTCCCATCCACACAGTTTCAGCAACTTAATGCCCTGTAATAACTCGTTTGTTTTTGTCCCACGGATATCAGAGTAATGCTTAAGGGACAAAAACAATGGCATTGATAGAATGTTTACATTTGAAGTACAAGTCTCTGACAACTCTTGGAATATGAACCAGTATAATTTTCAAATTATACTACCGGTATATATAATATATTAATATACGTCGCCTTCACCCAACCCGATTATCAATCAGCAATCCTTATTGTTGTCGCTATTCTCTCAGATTGATGGAGTGACGGAAATATATTACATACAGTGCATTTTACAAACATATCTTGTGAAATTTATTCGACATTACTTACCATGCTTATACGCTGTATTTTATTTTGCATCCTACCTAATTTCAATATCAGTGGCACTGCCAACAGACCACAACCAACACCGACAACTCCTGCCAATCCCATTGAGTAGAAAAGCCACGAACATCCAACAAGAATCTTTAAGTAGATGGTATCAGATAACAAATACTTCTGCATTATAGCACAGTTCAGCTTCAACGATTCGGGATTATGTTTGCGTATTGCGTTTCTAGGATTCTAGGTTGGTTGTACTAAAGCCATTATACTTGTTTACCACATGTGGAAATGGGGGGGGGGGGACTATTGTGTATGTAATAAATGTATTACTGTTAAATATATATAGTGTCATATGATGGCTTACCTAGCACAGGCCAAGCTAATACTAGCTGGACTGCACTAATCTGATTAATTGTGAATATCACTACTAAATTGGCTAAGCATGACTAATCTATCGAGTAGCCTGTGCATGTGGTCATTTCTGTGGCAATTACAACAATGTCACTTGGTCTGATAGCGGCAAATTTCCTGCAGTTATGTGTCCTTGTATTTATTGAAATCTAAAGGCAACTCGATCTGCATCAGCTGGAAACTGCTGAATAGAATGCCCTCAAACTTGAACGATCTGTTTTGGGGTCTTTAGTATCGCCAAATCGAATGTATCGACAAACCATTTGATACATGTACTGATAACGAACCTTATTTCGAGTGTTCAATGTATAAAGTCAGGGCTGTTCCTTGACAAATGTGCTTGAACTGTACGGATATTTATAACTTACCTGAAGTGGATTTGATATCAGATTACCAAACGTTAGACAGAATTGATGTGTTGAGTCTGAGTCAGCAGATATATAATTAATAGTTTTCCCCGCAGTTGAATTCGTTAATGACGATAGTCGTAGTGCTTTCTCATAAACAAAATTCTATTGATATAGAGTAAACAAAACGTCATTAGCCACTGTATTTAGTCATATTAAATTCTTTTGAAACTGACCAAGTACATATACCTACACACATGACATGGACCTTTCCACTTGTTACCAACTGTCACATGTACGTGTGATCTTTATTGAATAACTTTAGTAGACCGTCTCAAAGACGGTCACAATGCACTATGTTGTCCCAAATCAGAGACCATAGTCATTTCTAAACATAATTAAATTTGATTATAAATTAAATTAGCGGAAATACATGACCAATAATAACGATTTATTTTTATTCAATTCACCCAAGCAATAACTGTTAATTACCTTTTTGCTATAAACTTGATCCAAATTATGATACGTTTGTTGCATAATCGTGTATGTACAGAGAACATATATAAATGACAGTGACATTAACAAAGCAAACATATATGTAACACACTTACCTGAATAGCTGTTTTCAGGTGAATGCCAACTTCGAAGGCTACTCGAAATGAATACACGGCTAACAGGTTTCTTAGCATGAGAATTACACTTATCAGAAACATGAGAATAAAACCGTTTGAGAAGAATTCCTTCACAGTAACAAAAGGGTAACTCTGTAACAGTTGGAGAGCGGAGTTTATTTGGTTGAAAAGGTTGGTTGTAAGTATTACATTTGTATCCAATAATATATTTTTATCCAAACGTCGATGACTAATATTCGACTATGACATGTACACCAGCAGATATATAGAAAGCAAACATGTAATATACTCACATATTGATATGTATTATAATCGTGATATTGGGTAACGTACATCATTATCCCAGCAATACTGGCTGGACCGGCAAAACTTAGTAGAGTAAATATAAGTCGCGTCACACAAATTATGATTATTCTGACAGTGTGTGTATGCCAATATACCTTGAATAGAGAAGGTACATTCTTGCTACATTTTCGCTGCAAATGAATGAATAATTATGGATCAGAAAAACTTATAATTATAATATTCACGAATGACAACATGTTCGGATTTATCCCTAGAAATGATAGTTTGGTATTCTTTTTTTGACTTTTGTCGCTCGCATTGTAAATGTCGTATACCATAAAGGACGACGTCAAAAGAACGATGTCGGATAAAAGACTTATTTGCTTTAGTTTGGGGGTGGGGTGACCTCAAAAAGTTTCCATCTTTTTATTTGTAGTTCGTTTTTTTTTCTATCCAATCATGAACTAAAATAACAGAAAATAAAAAAATCACATCTAAGACGAGAAAATGGTTTGGTGTTATAACAATTTCTTTGTACTACCTACCTTTGTAAATTAAATGGAACAAATTTTTCGTTGTTATTGGTGCATTTGTAAAGTCTTTTCATACCCACCGACAACCAACTGCTATGTCATATTACTGTTCAATTATCAATTTGTGTTTAATGGTTAAATGTAGTCTGACGCCATGATCAATATTTATGAATTAAGTTTCAGTGAGGGTGGGGGGGGGGGAAATTACGTTTATTATCCTATATTGAACTTCTTATGTTGTCCATAACGCATGTACACCACCACAATTAAATCCACAATTCTCAGCTCATGGTGCCACAAGTTTACAGCCATAATCTATAGCAGAGTTCACAGTACAGTACTTGTTTTAACTTTTTTGGAGATCTTATGCGCTAAGCTCTATTTCTCATATTTTAGACGATCAAAGTGTTACCTGTCAGGGGGTATACCTTAAAGTTACTGATGCATTAAGTTCATGAACACCACCAATGTTATGTACTGGGTTAATAGGGACTGTAACACACAAGAAGTGCAACAACAATTAGGGTTAGCCTACAATTTGAACAATTTAATATGAATACCCTTACCTGCTCACATCTGTAGGATTTGTTGAAGGCGTGTAATATGCGTTTCCCTTCAAACTCTTCAGGCAAGCATCCCAGGTCGTCAATTTCAATTGTTTGTTTGCGTGACAGTAACACCAATGAGTTTAACCACCAAACTGTTATGTTTGATAACAAGTTTACATATGATTTCATGAAGAACAAATTTGTTTTCAGTATGTCCTTTGAGGTTGTGCCTTCTTCTCCTAGTGAGATGAACATCTGTAAAAACAAAATACAGCGTTAAGTCACACATGGTGGGCTATACATAATGATATATGACGGGGAATATGGCGTGAAAGTCAAATACTATTACGAACTGAAAACATGGACACTTAATTTATTATCCCTGATTGTAAAAATATAGCATTAATGTATTTACAAATGTTGGCTTTCGAGATACCATACAAATTTAT